ATCTCATTACCCATAACAACGGTGTGCTTTCGGTCGCTCTTACCTAATAGTTCATCCCAGCGCCGTCAGGTCGTATGGATGTGACCGACTCCGAAGAAATGTGCCGCATAAATATGGCAGCAGCATAAGCAGCAAGGCAAGAAACCAACTCCTTCACCTACCCAGTTCCCGGAATGGTGTGTGATTTCGACATCCGCAACTTGGCTGCTGACGTGGTCCAACGGGATTCCGCATCGCGTGCTCTCCGTACAACTGCCTCAAAAAGTTGCAAAAGCGATGTCCTTTCGCTTACTCCACACTTGAGGTGCTTACTCTCGTTCTCCACTCTGTTTGTGATGAACGCACCCAACGTGCGCAATTTGCGCAATCTGTTATGCCAAACTTCCTGCAAAGGACAACCATGTCCGACTGAAGTACGTGAACGCCTCTTTGCTTCTAATCCTTAAAGCTCTAAAAGCATCTTAAATTGCAATTCTGTCTTTGTATACACTAAGCTGTGCATCCAATGCTTCAGCAAAACTCTTTCCGCCCTCTTCACTTTCGACAGAGACTGGCATTTGCGTGAAAAGTCTCTCAGAAAATGGAACCGGCATAATACTACCATGGTCTGTGGATATACCGACTTAAATGCCTTTATTTGCCCTAGGCACCTATCCATGACTATCGTCTTTGTTGACAAAGTGGTGGGCAACATTTCTGACATGCCCAGAGCATGCACTCCCTTTGGGCATTCAAGCGTAAAACACGCTGCGACCTACGCCGAAACTGTCAATCACCATGCACTGCCAAAGAACATAACCACCACAGTTCACCTGATGCGTGGCGTCTGCAAGAATCACGTCCCTGTATTTCGCCACTATGAAAGTCATTGATGCAGAACAAAGAATAGGAATCGCACCTGCGACCCATCTCTTTCTACACGCACAGCGCCATTCTTACTCAAAAGTTCCGCAACTGCGTTTACATCGTTTGCCTTCGATACCCCGCCTTAGCGATGGCGGATGGAAAAGTGGTCCTGTCGATTCAATCGTTTGTTATCTTTCCAACACATTGTCTCGCAGTTCTTCGGTATTACGGAAGGACTGCATTAAATCAAACACCTTCCGCTCCGCCTCGGGAATTACGCGCCGGTTACCCACTTACAAACTTGGATTCCTTAAGTAAAAATTATGATTATGCACCAAACAATGCGAGCCTCACTCAAAGTAAATGCCCTTCTCACTGATGGGTATGCTGGCTTTACAACCAAGGTTGACATACCTATGCAACATGAAGTACACATAGCACAACGTTCACACTTATCGACTGCCACCTTCTCCTTTCCGGCTGCCTTGGACACAACGATATTGCACCCATTTGTACCGCATCCCGTCGGGTAGCTCTTGACCCAACCGCTTCTTATACGACACAGCGGTCAATACGTCATATTTGTAAAAACCCGTCGCCGTGTGAACTTGAAACCGCCTCAAATCTTCCTTGAATTGACCAAACGCCTTATAATTTTGGCGAAATGAAGCGCGGAACGCAATAGTATCATCCACAGCCATTACAGCGAAACCGAAAAAACACCTGCGAACTAAAACAACCACCGTTTCATAAATCGTAAAATAGTGCTGTTGTAACGCTTCTTCTTCACTGTTGTAACGCTTCTTCTTTACCCCTGCTCTCTGTTCAGACGACTGTCGTACTGCTGATAGCTGCCTTTTAAGACTGCGACTGTCTGACTGCTCAGTCACGCGCCCAGCCAACCGACGGAATACAAGAGGCCAGAACTAGGTAGACAGAGAGAGACGTATTGTATGAGAGAATGGCGCAATAAATAGGTTGTGGACAATTACTAACATGATAATATTGGAGATGCTAATCAATGTTATTTAATACAACTCAAATGGCTCAAGTTCATGACCCAACTTGCCGCTGATTCCACATCGATTCGCATTTTGATCTGTACTCGAGTTCGTTCTCTAATTGTAGATCGATCCGCTTCTACGCCACTGCTCTCGGCTTGATCGCTGGCTGTAAGCTTTCTCTCCGTAACAAATGCACTACCATTTACAGCTCCTCTAAATAAAATACCTTTAATAAACACTTATGAAGCCTTAACAACGTAGTTCATAACATTCCCTCCCAGCAGCCAGTACAGCAAAAAGTAGTACCGCGCCCAAATTACGAGCAGCTGTTTTCGATTAATCCGACGCTCTCTAAATGAGAAGGACGATGAGCTACTATCTGGTGGGTAAAAATCACGCAATTTCATTTTTCCTTCATTGGAATACGAAGCAATAAGCCGGTATTTCTCTGGCGACTGGGACTAGCTTATTAACAGTCAAAATGATTGTCGATTCATTGAAGCATATCGGTAGGATCCTTTTCGCATGGAGAAGAAGATTATGATCGCTAATCTGGAAATTTCTGTGGCTGTATTATGATACCTAGAAGGGTAATAGAGAGGGTGACAGGTAACAGTGAAATGTCAAGTAATGAAAGTAGTACACCAGCTGTTTAGCCACAGATAGATATACCGATTCACAAAGAAGTGAAGGAGCTGTCACAGAGCCTCTCTTCTGCTCTCTACTACTCAGTGAACTCAGGGATTAATTGCACAAACAGTTAGAAAATTAACCGTCGTTGTGAACCGAATACATAATGCGTTTTCTTGAAGAAATGCGGTGCGCCATCTGCCATCGATGACAGTGGTTGCTGCATCCTTTCGGCGGGTATAGTATAAACGTTGTATATGTCCATATTGTAGCCTCCTTCGTTGTTTGTTGTTACGTATTTTTTGTGTCAGCGGTCGCTTTTTCGATGGTTTCCAGCGGTGGGGGAACAACTGAACGCATAGATCGTTAAGCGCCTCACTAAACCTTAGCCTCGAGCCGTCGGAAGTGTATCCGGATACTAATTCTCTGAGTAACATGTGTTCCCTCTTATTATGGGAGGAAGAGTTGGCAAGTAGTTCGTTTGCCGCCGAGAGAAGGTTCCGAAAAATTGAGTTGGCAGAGGATCTGTCGCAGGGAGGGAGTGGTGCGGTACGAGGTGATGAGTGATCTAGGATTGTTGAAAACGTAGATACAGACATTTCTGGTAGGGATTTTCCGTGACGTATGGTACTAAATGTATGGGTAACTGGCTGGCGGACATTCGTGTTAAGGATGTTGGGTCCGAGGATGAAGATGAAGGCGCGCTTTTGTATGAAGTGTAATCAGATTCAACCTCATGACTTCTGGGATTCACAGTATCAGTGGGGAGATCTGGAGGTGGGTCAAAATCAATGTTTGCATTCGTTTCGGCGGATGGTGAAAGCTCAATGTATGCATTTTGAATGGTGCTTATAGGTTGGATCGATTGAGGAGTTAGGCGTGGGAACTCCTCCGAGTTGGAAGATAACAATGGCCATGCAGGGGTGTTAGTGTGTCGGGTTGTTTCAATTTGTACAGGATCCGACATAAGCTGAGTTGATATAGAAGATTCCTCACAGTTACGATGGTCCACATAGTTCCAACCCACATGTTGTAACCGCTTCCGGATACTCTCTTCGGTTCGGTGCTGAAACACGTTTCGCAGTGCATGCATGAGAGCGTCTCTTGAAGATGATGTTGAAACCAAGTGTGAGGCCATAGAAAGAAGCAAGCGATCATCTCTTGCGGTCCAGTTATACCCATGCTTAGGGAGACGCGCGAGGCAGTCGGCGTTGTATTCTACAGGATGCCGATGTCCTACGATGTTGTGACAGCCCTCTCTGTGTAGGGAAGATTTGCCGACAGGTTAGACACTTAAATTGGGACATATTTACAACGGAGGCTGAAACCAGGAATCCTGTTGGATTTCTAAGAAGGGCTGCACGATGTCTTTGGAGTCCGCTGGTAGTTCGAAAATGTCGCAGACATAGTGTGCAGCTGAATAGTTCTGAATTGATGCCATCTGTATCTGGATGATTTGGAGCTGTATTCGAAGTGGAGGGGCTACTATGTTGTGATACTGGAAGTTGCGCGGATTCCGGTGGCGTCAATGTATAAGGCTGTGAGAAGTCAAGGCGATGAAGTTTGATGTAGGGTACTAGTGGAGTAGCTGATAATGGTGAAGTTCCTAAGGTTCCTAACTTTTGGTGTGTCGATGTTGAGGCGGTGCCTTGAGGTAAAGCACGTGGGTGTGATTGCTGCGATGCCTCTGAATCGTGGTTCCGTATGCTGGCTATGGATACAGCAGAGGCTGCTCCAGTGTCATTATTAGGTGAAGTAGAGCCAGCAAGTCCGCTGCCCTGATTGATCAAAGCAGGGGACGTAGGGAAACAGGTTTTCGGATGCTGTACGGGAGGTAAGTCAATAGTGGTGGTTGATAATGAAATAGATATACACTGTGGGAGAAGTAGGTTTAATGAAGAACTTTCATTAAATGATGCTAATGGATGCAACACGGTACCACCGTACTACGCACTGACATTGACAAGGCGGGGGCGTTGCACATTACGTTAGATGTGAACTTGACGTTTTACGTACCTACATGTTTCAGTCGGCAGATGAAACTGCCGAAGCTCTGTGGGTAGTGATTAGCACTTCCTCAGCTCAACTTACAGTTGTATTTGTGTATAGAGGCCATGGGAGTGCGTCCAAAGAGGTGCTTGACTTTATTCACTCCCAATCCGCAAACAGGTGTTTGATACTGGGGGATTTCAATCTACCAGAAGTTTGTTGGGCAGATCTTTCTTGCAACTCGGCGGAAGGTATTTTCGGTGCAGATCTACTTGAGCTTAGGCTACAAGTACCGTTGCATCAGTTCATGGACCTCCGCACTAGACACATGGATGCCCAACTCCCGTATATTTTGGGTCTAGTGTTTGCCAAGTCACTAGACTTCGTAGGTGACATCACGTACAGCTCTCCCTTAGTTGCTAGTGATCATGTTTGTTTATCGTTCAGGTGTACTCTGACCAGGCGTCACCAGAACATCGCTAAGGCATTTCCAAACATATGGCGTTTGAACTATCAAACAGTGCGTACCAAGACTTCTGGGTTGCGTTGCGAAATCTCGGTGTTTGATACGGTTCAGGCGGCCTGGGATAGATTTATGTCTTATCTCACGGAAGTGTCTACTCCCTACATACCGCTTGCGAGGAGAAAGGAGACACGAGCGCAGCCGCCGTGGATAGATACCACTGGCAAGTACCTGCTCCAGAAGCGTTCTAGGTGCTAGAGGATCTACCGTGCGGCTCCATCAATTAGCACCTATGATAGATACCGCGAGGCTAGGAATAGCTCAGCTGTTTTACGAAAAGGAATTGGCTGATGGAGCTTCGGAAAATCCGAAGAATTTCTTCGCTTATGTTAGGAGACGTTTGGTAGGTTCGGCAGTAGTTAGAACACTTCCTGAGCAGGTATTTACCGGTACGATCTATCCAAGAGGCTGCTCCCGTGTCCTCCGTATCTTAATGTGATCAGCGTAGCAGACTTCAGGTAGGTTAAAGTCACCAGGTATTAAATAGACACCTATTGGCAGCGTCAGTAAGAATTTACTCAATACCCTCCCGTGAGCTACTTCCAGGACTTCGATATGCCACTACAACTGTAAACTGAGTAGAGAAAATGTACACCGCAGTCGGCAGGGCCTCATTAGTTTTGCAAAGCTGACCTATGCACACATGTTGAGTGTAATGATGACAATGCAAGTCCACAGTCACCTCATGCATGTGATGAATGAATGAACATTTTGGCAAGTTAGATTATTATGGGCCATGGGCTATCACTAGCCTAGTGGATGGCCGTTGGGATGACGCGGAGATGAGCCAGAGACCAGGACGGAAACGCAAATTGGGAAGCTTGAGAGCACTACATCTTCACAAGGTTCATAGGTCTCTCAGCACTATCAATAAGGATGTAGATTTCGGAGCCCCTATATACATATCAGCACAGAACTGGTGCACTGGTGACATAGTAGCGTACCTAGGTCTCTTAGCACTAGCAGCAGTGATGTAGTTCTCGGAGTCTCTATACATATCAGCACAGACCTGGTGTATCGGTGGTACAGTAGCCCACACAGGTCTGTGCAGTGGCTTAGTCGCTTAGTCGCTTAGTCTTGCGAAAACGGAACCCACTGAGAACACCTCAGACGGAACAGCCATTGCGCTCATGCACCGCCTACCTATTATGCTGTTCCTTTGGTGCACCATAGTGTTGACTCTATCAACCAAGCAAGTGAACGGGGTGCGTAGCGATGACCTCTTCGACAAGTACTCCTTCAGATGCTTCTTCTCCTTCCCCATTCTGTTCGTCGTGCGGCAGCCAAAAAGAACAGTATCCCTCAGTCTGTGCGCCGCCCAAGAGTCCGCGTGTGGAATACACGTTGCGCACAAATAACGGTGCAAATCAGTATTCGCACTCCCCACCGCGTTCAATATCCCTTCAAATAGGGACGCGTCACGAGTATATATAAGATAATGCAGCCAACCTCGTAATTGCATTCTACGAGCATCAGACATCCCGAGTAAGCGGCCGCAACGTCGAGCCATGTCCACTTTAACATGGTAACCACAAAAAACCAGCTTCGCGTTGGGATAAAAACGACTGAAAGCCAGGATGTGAGCAGCGCACTTATGCACCACCACTGTGTGGCAACGTACGGTGCTAGGCACCATCTCCCGCATCGCATCAACCGCTTGCCCATACCTGTAGGAAGTCTCATCGGGTAATAGGGCATAGAAAAAGGAACTCCCCAGACCTGTGACATTTACCAGCATGCAATGCCACAAAATGTAGCCACCATAATTGAGCTGCTGCGTCACATCGCATAACAGCACCTCACCCTAACGATTCACAATGCCGCGGACTAACGATGGGGCGAAAAACATACAACGTATGTCAACGCCCTCCGACATCAATGGACACACACCGTGCCCTTCCAACATCGTTGCCACGTCCGACACCTAACTAGCGGTTGCATCCCGATGACGAATGCGCAAATTGTACAGGTCCAAACCATGGTTACTCGTTTGCCGTACTCCTGGTACATACAACGACGCAAACCTGGTGTGCTACGGAAACTGTCCATCAAACGCAAAACCTAATCCATTTTCACCGGAGAAATCCGACGGTTCGGTGCATACAACCATGCGTTACCCAAGTGAAAATCATGACTATGCGTCATTACGTAACCTTGCACGGCATACTTACGTTCCTTGAAAAATACGGAGAAGTGAGCCTTGCAATCGTAGCATTTGTATCTACATGCGTTAGTGGCCTTGCGACAAAATAGGACCAACTTACCGCTTGCAACGTGATCCTGAACGTTTACCATGAACGCAACGGTACATGATGTCACGGTAGCATTCCCCCTCGGGCACCGGCTTCCTCCTTCCACGATGGTATGCGGCAGCAGACTTGGAGGATGCACGGAAAAAACCAGTCACCATTTCAATCTGAAAACGTTCCAACCGCTTCTCAAGGTCCTCAACACCTTCATACTTCCCAATAACCAAAGACCCGAACAGCTCACTGTCATCGACAACCATAGCGATAGCAAGAAAAACCAGTATGGCCACCGAAAAAACAAAACAAACACTCGCACATGCACCAATACAGGTTATCATTTCTTCGGCATCATAACTCACATACAATGTTATTTCCAAAGCCATCTTAAACCTAGTTTACAAGTTTCACACATTCAGCCACCTTGGCAATGTCGCTACGCAACCGTTGCTATGTACAATTTGTACTACGGAACGTACGGAAACCACACAAGATTTTCCGACCTCCGATCACACAGTCTCCTGTGGTCGGTGCTAGTTTAGCGGGCGGTAATGACAGACTCAATTTTTAGGTCATTTACAAGGAATTTTCATGCAGTACACGATGCTGTGGTATTGCGGTAGCATCAGGCGATGTAAAAAAAGACATGAGTATGCAAGGAGAATCCGAAATTTAGATAATCTGTCTATTTCTTGATATGTCTGGGGATATATTATGCCGTAAATAAAGGAGTTTAGCTGTATCCTTTTTAATAGGGGGAACGCGCTTTTAAAATTATTTAGGTAGATAAATAACCGGTAGACTATACATAGGTATACATGTCTGCAAAGGCTTTTGGAATGGTTATCGTCGGACTACAAAGAGATAACGAGGCGACTATGTGGTTCAGTATACGCATTACATAAAACGGACTACTAACATAAGTTAGTTAGCAGTAATTAAAATGTTGCCCGCTTCATATATTGTCTAACAGTAATTGTGCAATGTGCAATAGAGCTAACTGACTACTACAATAAGCTGGCCGCTCTGAAGTACTAGAGGTTGCTGGCTCCACAGGTGTCACAGCAATGCTACTGTATGCCATAGAGCTGACTGACTGCTCATATAATCTGGGGGCCCGTAAGTATTACATGGTCCCCACTCCACTTAATATTTCAAAGGGAATATATTTGTTTATTTATTTATATGCAATATAGCTAAATGACTGCT